TTTGGCAGGAGCTGGTCGGGGACGCTTGACGCCGCCATCTTTGAAGTCCGTACTTGCACACTCCGCTAAGATGCGCTCGCGGGAAGCCGTGAGCGGAGTGTACTTTGAAACGCCCCGAAGGCCCCCTCTGTTCTCGGATGTCCCGGGGTTTGTCGTCTTTTCTTTTTTCCCCGGCTCGTCGAGGAGGGATAAGCTCTTGGCGCAGGTTGCTGCTGGATCCGCGATTCCTGGGGTCTCGGGCTCTATTGGTCGTTTCCCTCTCCTCGTAGTCCATGTAGGCCCTGGCCTTCTCGAGGAGAGCATTAAACGTTCAGGATGGTTCGATGCCCACAGCCTTCCTGAATTCTGTGCCGGGGAGAAGGCCCCTCTCCAGCAGGTATCTCTTCATATGGTCCGTGCAAGGGACCTGGATGGCTTCCCGGTTGAAGCGGTTGATGAACTCTCTCAAGGTTTCATCCTGTCTCTGGACGATGGCCTCGAGCGCCGCTTCAGTCTTCGGATGTCGCCGAGATGCAATGAATGAGCTAATGAATTAGTTCTTCAAGTTTCGCCATGAGGTAATTGACCCCGGGGCGAGACCCTTGTACCAGTCCATAGCTGCTTTCCTCAGGGTCGTGGGGAACAGCCGACATTTAATTGGCCCCCCGACGTTGTGGTAGTGCAGCATTGCCTCGAACCCGTCTATGTGATCGACTGAGTCGGCGACTTCATCATATTCTTTCAGATGTGGAGGCTTCTCCATGCCTGGGGAAATGGGCGCCTCCATGATAGCTTGTGATAGGGGACCGCAGGGGTCGTCCTCATCACTTTGTTTCGGAGAGCGGGACAGGGACCTGATGTATTGTCGGTCACGATGGCTCTGGTCGTGCTGGACGTTCCTCGAGCGATGTGTTCGTTGATAGGTTCCTCCGTGTATGTCTCCAGGAGGTCTTCATTCTTGCCGTGAAGGGCCAAGGTCGCGCCTTCCAGTCTCAATGAGTGGGTCTCTCTCCAAGGCGGGTCGCCGCCCGGGTTGTCGGGGCGACGGGCTTCGAGAGGTGTCCCGGTCCTGTCTCCGCGGGGGAGATCAGGGACGTTCCTCCGTTCTTCGAAGAGGTGCGGATTGAGGCCTCCTGTGTCTCCTTGGGGGCCTTTTGTCGTCCTCTAGCGCTCTCAGTCTTTCCCCTTGGGCAAAGATGAGGTAGTTGGTCTGGTTGATTGCTGCGAACAGTGGAATTGGGCGGCTAGATAGTTCGGGGGAACTGGATTATCTTCTTCGAGCCGAGGAAGGACTGAAGAAGATGAAGTCGTGGCTCCGTCCCGGTAGTTAGAGGGCCCGGGGATGGCGCCCCCAGGGAGTATATTATGGTCGGCGTTGTCGGGGCCACCGTTTTTGTCGGCGAGGTTGTTGTTAGCTTCAACGACGCGGACGTTCTGGTTGCCCTGAATCTGGTCAGCCATGGCGGTCGAGGATGATTTTAGCTTTGGTCTTCGCGAGTTTATAAGACGGGGAAGCTTAGTTTCCCACAGACGGCGCCACTGATCGTACCTGATCAGAGTTAGACCGTCACAGTTGGCTCGAACTGAATTTGAAGGAGGTGGGGGGTACCTGCAAGACATTCCGATGATAAAGTGAGAGACGGAATGAGCAGGCGAATTGTATATAGGCGTGAATGAGATGAATACCTGACTCTCTTGAAGTAGAGGGTATTTATAGCCCCCATCGTTGGGCCAAGGTCCCTTTATTAGGCTGACCAAACAAGCCCAACAAAGGGACTGCCAGGTCCCACGTGGAGTAGTGGGGACCTGCACGTGGTCCCCTACCTGGGTGATGCTCTCTGCATAAATAGGGAGGTGGAGACGCGGTCTTCTCGGGACCCCGAGGACTCTGAAATATTCAGAGGTTTAGTCTGCCCTACGAGAAGTATGCTCGAGTAAGACCTGGATTGAGACGTTCCTCGCCTGAGATGTCCCTTGTCGGGGACTCTCTTCACGGTCACCGGCGGGCACAAGTTGTGTTCGACGACACCCATGATCGAGACGTGTCGGGAATTCTAATACTCAGCATGGTATGTTGCAAAGCTTGGATTGGGTCTCGCTGGTAATTGGGCCACAGGCAGACCCAGTCCAGAACATATACCTATACCCAAAACCTGTTGAACTCCTAAAGACGAAGCCAACTCATTCCTAGTATTAGGATCAACATTCCTGCTGCAGTAAAATTCAGTTTTTTGAAAATTGATAGCTTGACTAGAGGCTTCCTCATACGTAGCAAGAATATCCTTCATAACATTAGTTTCTTCAGTATTAGCTCTGAAGAACAGAAAACAATCATTGGCAAACAGAAGATGAGAAATAATAGGAGCGTTCCTACATATTTTAACACCATGGATGTCGCCTCTACTTTCTGCTTTCCTTATAAGAGCAGTGAGCCCTTCTGCACAAAGAATGAATAAGTACGGAGATAAAGGATCACCCTGTCTCAACCCACACCCAAGAGTTATCGAATCGACCAAAGAACCATTCACACGCACTGGATACTCCACCGTTTCAACATATAGTATAATCCACCCTATCCATTTTTGACCCAAAAACCCATGACGGTAAGAATGTCCTTCAAATAATCCCAATCAATTATATCATAAGCTTTACTGATATCCAGATTAAGAGTTATCTCACCAACTTTATCTCTAGTTTTAGTCTTCATGTCGTGAACCACTTCAATAGCGGCCATACCGTTGTCCAGAATAGATCTATCGGGAACAAAAGCTGACCGATTATCAGAAATACACTTTCCTAATATCCTCTTGAGGCGATTGGCTAAAACTTTTGCTATCCCTTTGTAAAGAACATTATAAAGCGCAATCGGCCGCCAATCTTTCATAGGAGTTTGAGTAGTACCTTTTGGAATAAAAGTGATGTTGGTTTTATTGAGATTTTGCTTAAACAAACCAGTTCGAGCCACGCACAGCCTACATTAAAAATTTCTGTGCCACGAGTGTCCCAGAAAATTGATGATAGAAGCATGGACTATACCGTTGAGGCCTGGGCTTTTATCAACTTGCATAGAGAAGATAGCATCTTTAAATTCATCAATAGAAAATCCAGCAAATCCAGCAGTAAGCATAACATTATCATCATCAGAAATGGATTTTTCAATAACTTGTAATACCCGGTCCCGAGAGCTTGTCTTCTTTTGGAAAAGATCAGTAAAATAATTATTGGCCACTTGACACAAACCTTCTATAGAATGAGTAACCTCCACATATTCATTGACAAGAGATTTAATGGTGTTAATTTTATTCCTTACAGTAGCAGTAACATGAAAGGACCGAGCATTGAGATCGTCGTCTTTGTACCAATGGGCTTTTGCTCTTTGCTTCCAAAAAAGATCATCTTTCACCAACAGAGAATTCAAGCGTTTTTTGAGAGCTGAAAAGTAGTTCAGATTTCCCTCGAAGACGTTGTGTCTGACTCTATCCAACTTCTTGCGAATACTATTAATTTCCTTTCTCACTTTACACCAAATGTTTCGACTCCATCTCAACATTTCTTCTCCACAAACCTCCAGCTTTTTAGTAATTTCTTCATGTTCCAATTATGCTACTTTTCGCTTACGAAGTCTCTAAATCCTGGTTCGGTAATCCATGCATTCTCAAAATAGAAATTCTTCTGCGAGCTATGCTGAACTGTGTGACTAGTGCAGTTGAGCAGAATCGGGTAGTGATCGGAGGAAGCTGTAGTCAAGCATTCCAGTTTCGCGCTCGGGAATAAGTTACTCCAATCTGAATTTGACATTGCTCTGTCCAGTTTTTCTTCTACTGCCCGATTAGTGCCTAGACTTTTGAACCAAGTGAAGGAGTAATTTTCTAAAAGGATATCAATCAATCATGCATCCTGGATAGCTTGCCTAAACCCAGTAATCAACCAATTTGGTCTATCAATAATGCCTTTCTTTTCATTGGAGGACAAAATATCGTTAAAGTCGTCGATAATGCACCAAGGTAGATTAGAACTGTCAGAGAGGTTTCGGATTAAATTCCAAGAATCTCTTTTGTGAGAACTCTCGGGAAATCCGTAAAAACCAGTAAGTCTCCAATTTCCTTTTATATTGTCTTCAACTAAAATGTCAATGTGATTATTAGAGTAATTTTGAATGGAGCAATTTTTATGCTCTTTCCAAAACACAGCTATGCCACCACTTCTACCAATACGATTAACCGAAAAACAACAATCAAAGCCCAGAGAATAGCGAAGAACTTCCACTTTATTAGAGTAGTTTATTGTTTCAAATAAAAATAAAACATCTGGTTTATGTCTTCGGATGAGGTATTTAAGGTTCGGAACTACGCTCGGGTTACCCAGGACCCAGCAGTTCCAGCTTAATATAATCATTTTTCTTGGCAGGTTTGCTGAGCAGAACCCACGGTTAATACAGTGACAACATTTTTGGGACCCTGCTGCATGGTTTTGTCAAGACCAGCAGCTCCCAAGTCTAAATCTACACCTTCAAGAATCATATCTTCCACGGCATTTGTGCCTTTGGTGACTTGTTCTATCAGCTCAGAGGTAACCACTTCTCCAGTATGAGATCTTTTCTTCACTGTGATAGTGTCCATGTCATGATTGAGTTCCAATTTTACGCCTTTGATTCCTTTTAGCTGAGACTTGCGTCGAGCCTGGTTTTTCATTGACAGTTTTGTAGCAGTTATTTTTTTATTGCTAGCTGCAATTTGAGTTCCCTTAAACTGTTCCAACTCTGCCAAAAATATGCTAACAGGAGGTGTCTTCAAAAACTCACGATTTTTCGGGTCTGCTGTACCCGAAGCAGAGCATGCCCGAATCACATTTGATTCCAGGATAGTCACGGCATTATGCTGTCCAGCATTCCATGGCGTATCAATCTTCTTATTCTTCCGATTTGGCTTGTCCTCAATAGATGGGTTGGCCGGACCTGCAGCTGTGGCGATAACAGGATACAGAATGGTGCTAGTAGCAGAATTGTTATGGATATGGGCCTCCTAACCGTCTGTCAATGACAGAAAATTAACAGCAGTTGGATTATTGGCTTCACATATTGGTTTAAACATCTTGTTATCAAACACTTTGAAAGTCCCTGGTGGCAGTTCTCTAGTAGGTTCCTGAATTTTGAATATCGGTGGAGTAGCAATGTCGTTGATCACCAGCTGCATTTTGGGAGAAAGCGTGGATGAATGTTCAGCCCCCCCAGTCTTAGTACCTAGGTTTCTAACAACCATTTTGTTAGCCAAAGACACAGCCAGATCTGTAATAACGTTTTGACCCGTTCCATTCGCATTTTCTTTTGCACTAACCGTAGTCGGTGCATTACCTCTATCAGTAGGACTAAAGGCAATCCAACTGTTTGATGAAGCACTTTTCTTAGTAGTAAGTTTTAAGAAGACCTTTTTTGAGGCTGGATCTCTTTCAATAGCAACTCTTCCGTATAGCAGATGCGCATGTCTGGTAATGATTTCTGAAGCTTTACTCGAGGTTTCCTCATTCAGCTGGTTGTTGATGGTACCTTCCCCGTCCTTTCTGCTAACACCTTCATTTGTCCGGCCATTACGTAACCACCTATTAGCGCCATTGTTGCCTCCTGGGACACCAGATTCCGCTCTCAAGAAGTTACCCCAACCTTTTGTTTAATTGCAAAAGTTGGAACAAAATCTCAACTGACAGAAATTCTCCAGTGGCCAATGATTCCACATAGAAAATAGAAAGTGCCCCGTTTTTCAAATTTGAAGGTTAACTGGACCTTTTCTCCTTCCACTCTATCAAAAGCCCAATTCTTTTCCAAAGGATGTTGCACATTGGTAGCAACCTTTATCCTCATATATTTCCTCCAAGCAGCAAAGTTGTTGTGGTCGTCGTAGCAGACAAATTTGTCTCTGTGATCGCCAATAAGAACTCCTACTTCCTCACTCATGAAACCAAACGGTAGGTTATAGATTTGGACCCACACCTCCACTTCATTAAGAGGAACGGATAGAGGATCTTCCCCGAACTGAAGCTTGTAAATCGCCAACATAAAGTTGTAAAACAACCACGAACCATCCTGTAAAAATCTCTTCATGTCCCAATTATGGTAAAATTGGAACAAGAATTTATCCTCATCAATCTTTGTGATATCCATTCGCTGCCCAGGCTGCCACATCTTAGCCAACATATCTTTCAACACATTGTAGCGAATAGTTTTGTTAGTCAGTACGGGACTAAACACAGATCAAGAAATTATTCTGGTGTTAACTTGACAAGATCAATGTTAGCACGCCCCTCATTGCCATTGATAGGAACATTTGATTACTCCATGGGAAAACCGATAGTGTGGATACTGTCTTGATCATCTTGATATCCAGTCCACGAAACACTTATGTGCAGGATCCGCCAGACCAATGGGATGCATCGTTCCAGATCTTCAAAAAGGGGCTTTTTTTATACACAATAAAACAGGGAAACCGTGGAAACCGTGGAAATCGGAATTATTCAATAATATTAAAGTTTATCATATTATATATTATATTTTATATCAACATATTATTTTACCTATTTTATTATGTCCTTATATTTTATTATTAATTAAAAAATTATAATTATAAATTTAAATATTAAAAATCAATTTTAAAATAAATCAATAGTTTTTGACAGATAAATAAATCAACAGTTAAAATTTCAAAATAATCCAAAATGGAATCAAACAATAATATTTTTTAATCAAATAAAATTTTGTTTTTAAACCAATCTAAATTGCACATTAAACACCCTTAAAAAATACTATAAATATATTTGATAAGTTCATTCTCAACCTCTTATTCAATACATAAAGTAAGTTGCACGAATATTTAAAAAAATATAATTAAATTGTTTCAATAATTTAAAAATGTAATATAGTTTTTGTTTACTCAAACTAAACATTAGTAGCGTGTTAGACCTTCTACTTTTTTCTAAAGGTAAATCATATTTTTTTTAATTTCTCAAACTATTCTGGTGGGATGTTCTTTAAGAGACACTTAAAACTTTCTTAATATTTAAATTAAATAAAATTATATAAAGCTCCTTGTAAAATGATGCTTTATAGAAAATAAAATTAACTACTGAGATTAAAATAAACATAGTTTTATAATGTAATTACAAAATTATTTCTATATTTTTCCTAACAATAATATAATTCTATATTAGGTATATTTAGTGTATTTACATATAATAACCAAATTGTATAACAAAATAGCATTCAACAAAATAACTTAAAAGAAAATTCAGAAATTCAAACTAAAATTTAATATTTTAATAATTTACTATAAAGGTAGTAAATAATAAATATGAAAAGAGTTTGAGAAGTGAAAATCGACAAATATTCTTAACAGTACTATTACTCATTCATTTGGTCCGTCCTAATTCACGAAGTTTAGTATGTCTGTCATAAAAAACACATTATCTTAACTAACATTTCCTTTTCCACGTTGGATAAATGTGCAAGAAAGTTATGAAGGTAAAAATTATGGGATTAGGGACATTATCAAGTAGACTCTAAATATAATTTGTGAAATTTAAAGTCTTCAATAACATTAATCTCTTGGAACTATTCCAGAAACTGAATATACAATTTTTCCCTCAACAGGAAAAAAAAAGTTGAAATGAAGGTTTTAAAAGATCATTTCCTGTGTTCTTCAAATTTTTCTCTCTTGGGTATAACACTATAATATACAGAGTTTGTATTTTTTTAATCAGGAATTTTTTTTACATATATGAATCAGGAATAATATTGACCGAACCAAAATTAATTAAAAAAGGAAAGAAATATAACACAAAATCCATGCACAATTCATAATTACATGCAAGCTTGATAAAAGTTAAGCTTAGGATAAATTGACTGCAATTCTGCAAACCCACACATATGGCTCCAAACATTGACAATGCCATCAAGATATTTGGATGCCCATCTACAGCAATGTACAGGGGTGAGGGTAAGATATGCAGGTCATAACATTAAGCAAAACATATCATAACGTGCACATTGCTTTTTGCATTTTCGGTAATAGATAATGAGATGATTCTATTGATTCCGAGACTTCCATTTCGTAAGTTGTAATCAACCTAAACGAGAATAGAATTCATGAGTTCATAGTAAAAAAGTTTTAAATTGATGATCCATATGAAAGAACAGCCCCCTCCCCACCCCCGTCTCCAAAGAAAAAAAGATGCAGCTGCAACTATAGGGTTATATTTTATTTTTACCTTAGTCCGAAAAGCCAAAAAGGCCCCCAAATGTTTCACCATCTTCGTCATCTTCTGGTTGCTCTCTTTCATGGCTGCTGCTGCTGCTGCTGTCAACATCATCAGTTACTTCTTCAGTTAACACGTTGCTTCCATCATGCGCAACTGTCTTGCAGTGGCCATCTGGGAAAGAATGCTCGACACATGCATTTTGCATTTCGGAGGACACTTCCAGAAAATTGTTCTTATCTAAATCATGTTTCAGAAACAATGCTGAGCTGTCGCTAGTCCCAACAGCTTCTACACTATCCCTTTCATCTGAGTTTATCTTATTCCCTTGCAGTAATCGACTGCCATTGAGACGATGGTCATATGGAGAATCCACTTGCTTCAAGTTTCCAGATGAACACAAATTTTCTAGCACAATCTTGTTTTGCTGAGAAGGCTCAACAGCATTGATTGCCTCCACTCTTTCTGGGTAGATCTCACCAAGCATTTGGCAACAAGAAGAAACTTGATCCAGGTCAATCAAATTTTCAGTCCTTCTTGATGAACCTAAAGTAAATATACATCAATATATTGTCACATGAGATTCAAATAAAACTCTGATACAGAAATTGCTTAGAATGATACAGAAAGGAAATATACATCAACATTCCTGTAAAACTCTGATGGTATGACAGAAGAAATTGCTTAGAATGATACAGAAAGGAAATATGCATCAACATTCTTTTAATACTTTGATTGGTTTTAAAAGATCACTGTTGTATTTGCTCCTTCAAAATTACAATACCAGTTTCATACCTCCATCAGAGCTTTCGGTGGAGCTCAGTGATGCTGGTTTTGAGTGACAAAAAACGGTCATGTCGGCAGTTTGCTTGTCTTCAGCCACATGGAGAACAGGAGATGCAGAGCCCAAAAATTTTCCTTCTGGAAGGCTTCTGAGACAACCAGCAAAGTAAACATATGGTGAAATAAAGGACTACTGACGACCACAGATAAACCAAGACCAGAACAAATGTTACTAATGATAAGCTATGCATTTTGTTAGACATTATACTTAACTTGTTGAGGTAATAGATCTCTACAAAAGCCTTTAATTAATAACTGCGTGCAAGCAGAAAATGCTAAAATATAGATGAACACACAATAACCATACAGAAACAATTGCAACATTTGATAATACTGATGTATTTCTGTCAGAGTCATTTTTAATCAAAGGGTCAAGTCAAATTTTGTAACACTACTGTAAAATAGAAAAGAATAGATGGTTTCTCTCCTTCAAAGGCGAACACAGTACGCATGATTTCAGCTGAGGAATCCAAACACCTGTTCATCTATGACATGATACAGTAAGTCTGTTAGGGTGAATATGCTATAACAGTGCAGTCGAAACCAATAATTTACAATCACACAAAACGTAAAACTCAGGTTGGCATATTCAGCATCAAATGACAGCATATTGTTTCTACCCTGTGGGAATTATCCCTTGTGATAAAAAAATTTACAGAAATGCTTCTAAATATTAATTATCATAATGTTTCTTAATGTCTTTGGTAAAGCTTGTTTTGATTGCTTCATGAACGACAATCAATTTTAATAATCTAAATGTTGTCTTGATCACAATAGCACAGCATGATTGACAAGCTAAGATGGCCGGTCTACTAAAAAGAAAATAGAAAAAGTCACCACCTCTCATTCCAGCTCGGTCTGATGCCCTGAAAATGGTCAAAGACAGGCAACAACTCCTTCCGTCTTATTTCAATTTCGTTGGCGGAGATCTTTTCAATTTCAGACTCACCACCAGCATTGAAAACAGTTCTTCCAGAATTCAGTGTGTAGAAGCAAATCTGAAGAACCGGGATAGTTAGCAAGTAGCAATCAAGGTCAAGCACTGTATACGAAAATAAAAACTTTGCACAAATAAATACCTTAGAATTTTGCCATATTGGAATCCTTCCAAAATTTACTTGCACCTCAGCATTAGATATATACCAGTGAGATCTCTCATGGGGCTTACCTGTAGAGGGTTTTACCGTCTTTTGCCCAACACCATCACTTATATTAAAAAAATTAAACCCATAGCCATCACCAGAATACATCATTTCTTGAACTCTATTGATACCATCTTGTCTATCACAGGTATTGCTGCAAGGTTCCCCTTTTTCTGGCCACTCCGACCTTCTGCATACGTCCCACCATTGAATAGGCTCAACTTTCACTCTGAACTCATCCTCCTGCATGTGCGGGGCTGAAGCTGACTGGGTTCTCGAACCACTTTCATTTGGCTCTGGACCAACAGATGGAAGAAGCTCGTGTTGAACTATATGACCTGATGGTGTATATACCAACAGCTGCTCTAAGGATTTCATTTTTGACTTATCAAGCAGCTGCGAATGAGACATGGAATTATGAAATATCACAGCAATAGCACCAGATGGAACAAAAACTTTTCCTGCAACATTTGCATTAGAACTGTGAATGTTATTAAGCCATCCAAAACTGCTATACTTTATTCGGCTAACAACAGAAAGGACAACAGGTGCTGGGGGAGGCAAAGATTGCTGATGAGAAATGATAGATGAAGTAGACCACCAAGGAAGAGACAAAACAGGAAGTAAGGAGGCTTCTTCCCCCATAGAATTGATAATTTGGAAACCAGTGTCACCTCCAAAAGGTGACAAAATAAAAAGATGGCAAGTCCCTTTTGAAGAGACAATTGCAACCCACTGGCTAAAATGACTAAAACAAATGTCCTGGATCGTCTGTCGAATAAGGAAAAAAAAAGATCAAAATCATGAATGCTGGCCACAAATGGAATCACAAACTTAAACAAATAAAACAAGATAAAGTCATACTCCCCGACAGAAACTCAAATAAATAATCATGTCTAGCCTCTAGGTTACTTGACCAAAAAAATAAATAATAACAGTGTTCAAAACTAACTGTAATTCACAATTGATAGTCATAGAGAAAGGAAAAAATTTTATGGAAGGCTTTTTCGTAGCCGTTTGCCATCATCAAAAGGTTCCTTATTTTAAAGCAATGAAGTGTAGATTTCAAATTAAGAAGAGAGGAAAGAATAATTTAAGATTCTCTCAAGGGGGTGTAATTTATCCAAAAATAAATCAATATTGCAACCAAGATATACTAACAGCTGGTGTAATTCCTCGATGAAGTCTATAAAGATGCACATGAGTAGAGCTCCGGTCACAGCTTGGAACCCCTGAGCCCTTGCGTGCACAAGATGGCATTATCCGGAAGATATTAATAGAATTTCCATAGACAGATGCCGTGACCAGAAGTGTCCCACTAGGGTCAAAACATAGCGCAGATATAGGACTAGAGTGAGCCTTAAATTGGGAGATGATAGCTCTGGAAACAAAATCTTTAACAATTACCTGCAACCAATAACATGAACCGAAAAACAAGTAAGAGATTAATATTCTACTCTAAATTGTAAAAACATCGAGCCTATGGATCAGATAAGCCTTGTTGAAATAATACCAACCATTCCTGCATTGTCCATATCGCTTCCTGTAACCCTACCAACTTTCCATCCTGAAATTGATTGTATTGAAGAACTAGAACCATCAGGAAGCAAGTCTTGACAGTATTTGAATATTCCAGCAGCCAAATGTTTACTGGACTCCATTGCATAATGAGCCACCACACTACCATTGCTTGGAGATGTAGATGGACTAACTCTTGGAGAAGGACTCAAGTTTTGTGGGCTTATGCATCCAACATTTGAGGGCAGCGGGTTGTTGGAAGGATATGCTAACCACCTAGAACCCACCGCCATTGGACCATAACCCACATTCACTCCTATTGTTCCTTGCCCCGATAACTGAGGAACAGGATAAGTAAGAACACTGAACTTGTTCTCAAGAGTCAATGCATCAAAGCAGTATATCTGCCAAAAACAATCATCAAGAAAGTAAATCATTCACGGTATAGATAACAAACACTATCCAACAAAAATGGTCTAATGTAATAATTAAAAAATCCTAAAAGACTATACTTGTGCGGCAAGACCAACAGCTACAATCTTCGAACAACACCTGATCATACACACAACCGAACGAAACCTCAGAACATGAACATAAGAGTGAGACTTCAACGAATAAAACCGAACAGCCGTAGCAGATTTAACACCATTCCCAGATTGACTCTCCACCTTACCAGCCTCTCTTCCCAAACCACCAACACCACCACCATTTTGTCCAATACATCCATCCTCCCCATCACCAGCAACAACCAGCAGCAAAGGATGCGATTTTCCGAAACCCTCACGACCATCAGAGCTTACACCAACAGGAAAAGGCTGCATCTGCAAAAACGAAACCGGTCCATCCCGCTTGGAAACCACCTCACTAAATCCAGAAGCCTCCTCCACATCAAGAACTTGAAATCCATTAAGATAACCAAGTAAAAGAACACGCTTACAATGGTTCTGATCAAGCTCTAGTTTATCAAAACCAGCCCAAGTAACCTAAATAAAATCGTAACAATTAATAATTAATAATAACAATAACAATAAAAAATCAATACCAAAATAGTAATTAATGATAATTAAATAAACAAAGCAATAAAGTCCCGATAAAGAAAATTAACCAGAACGAGTATCATTAACTAACTATTAACTAACTATAAAATATAGTCGGAAAATGAACGTAACCGCGTAGAGTCTATCAAAAAATTAAACCAAATAAATGAAAAATCGACCTGATCCTTGTGATCATCGGAAGGGGAGGTGATAGAATTAGCGACGGAAGCGCCGGCGGAGCGGACGGTGGAGGCGACGGTGCAGGCATTGGTGGAAACAGTTTTAAGGCATGAAGAGATGATTCTAAAGGAACTGGGTAATAAACCGTTGTTTTTGGATTTTCCTTTTTTCATGGTTGATCAGAGGAAAGAGCGAAAGAGGTTTTGGATTGAAACGAAACGAGCATCGCGGTGAGTTTGACTTTGGAGTTTTATGGAATTGAAAAGACGGAGTTACGGCGGAATCATAGTTGAGTAGTTGGGACTTCGGCTTCGCTTTTTTTATCGTCCATCGTTGATGTCAGTCGCTCTGTGACTGGTTATTGTTTTTACTTTTTCTTTTTTCTTTTTAATTTATAATTTGTGGGTTGCTATTTCTAACGTCTTTTTTTTTTTTCGGTTTGTGAGTAGGGTAAATAAATATGGATTGGGCTTGCGATGCACTCTAAACAAAGCGTGTCGGGAAATAAATAAGGAAATCAACTTTATATTAAATTTGTTTGTTTTAATTTTTTTTAATGTTTAGTTTATTTTTTCTTATGGGACAATGATCATTTACTAGTTTAAGTGTGGATTGATTCAATAGTAGGGAGGGGAAGAAAGAAGTGGGAGGATTTTTTATAAAAGGAAAGAGAGATGAAGGATTTGATTTATTTGGTTTAAAATATGAAAAGAGAGTTAAAAATATTTTATAAAAATATAATGATAATAATATACAATTTTAAAAGCTAACTGAATACAATAAAATCTATAAAAAATTATTATTAAAAAATATTAAGATAATTACAAAAATGACATCAAAATATTAAAAATAATAATAATAAAATAATATACATGTTTTTTCTTTTTCAAATCGTCTTATTCACTGTCAGCTAGATGATTTAGTTCAATTTCATATTCTTTCGGCTTATCAAACAAAATATGAAAATTCATAGCAGACAAGTCTTTGAGTTCAGAAATCACAGTGACTTTAAGTTGTCAACTATGATTTAAGTATTTAAAAACTGTATTAATTAAATACTTATTTTGAAAAACTTTACTCATAGTTCAGGTGATTAACAATATGAATAAACTATTTTTTCATACCCTGAATATTTCTTCAGGTTTCATTCTAAAGGTTCATACTTATGGTTTAATATATTTATTCTAACCCAATTTATCTCGATTGTACCTTTATGGATAACTTCAAGGGTGTTCTACATTTCTTTAGCAGTGTTACAGTGTGAAAAAAAACTCATTCATACCTAAAACAGTAGAGATGATAGTTTTAATTTCAAACTATACTGCATTTTTTCTTTATCATCTTTGATCTGGAGATTTTTAGGTTTGTCCACCACTACATCATTAACTCGATATGTGAAAAAAATTGACCATTTTTAACAAGGGCTCAAAATATCAAAATTCATCCTTTCAATAAAAAATTCATTTTCTCTTTCCATTAAACATACAATTCACCATTGAAAGGTGAAAATTGGTTTAAGGAATCCTTTGAAGTCATCATACCTTCTGAGATGATTAGGCTTTGATGCTACTTGTTGCCCAAGTGACTTCAAACACAAGGAATGGTGAATTGTGATCTAAAAAGTTTTTAATAAATTGAAAACTTTAATTGGTTTCTAAATTGATTTTAAGAATAGGTGTAGAAGAATAAGAAGAGAAATAAACCATGAGGGCTACGTCCCGTCCCCAATGATAATAACTTGAGATTTTCATTATCACATAGCTTTTAACACGTGATCATCTTACAACTTTATTACACCAAGCTTTTACCTCAGATTCAACTTGCAATGGTAATATTTTGAATTCTTGTGTGTTTTCAGATGAACACAAGTCACATTTATATACTAAAACATTTAACCAAAAAAAGGAAACTTTGAAAAATCGCAAATTCGAACAATAATAGATTATGACCTACCAAATAAGGAAAGATTTATTAAATCTAGACCATAATTGATTATTAGGTATCCATAATCAATTACTAAATGAGGCATGCCTCGTAATCGATTACATTACCACCATAATTGATTATAGGTAGAATTTGTTTCATAATCGATTACATAATCGATTACATAATTGATTATCCATTAATTTGTTTTAACTTTTCCAAAGGTTTTTCAGAATAGTTTGAAAAGAGATAAAGTTTTAAAATAGAATTTATATGAGTGTGTGTTGTACCCCAAAATTTGCCCTCTCATTTTATCAAGATTTCACCTCACAAGACTCTTTGGATTCAAGACTAGATTCGGGTTTGCTCAGCTCAAGACATCTCCTTGCACTAATGACTTGAAATTAGGGTTTGAGTTTGCACTGGGATTTTTGGATTTCCAATGCTTCATGTGACTTTCATACTTCATGTTGAACTCCTAAGATTTCTCATACCAAGTTTCAAGCCTTGAATCAAATTTTTGCCCAGTCAATTGGACAGTTGACCTAAAAATCAATTGTATTGGGGAAAAAGTCAATTGTGGCCAATTTACAGTCAAACCTCATAATTTTTTATCCACATAAACATTATAGACTCATATGAACCATTTTATTAATTTTGGACCACAACTCCTCAAGAAATTTGATCAGATCATCAAAAGGGCAAAATGGTCAAAATTAGGGTTTTGACTGAGGAAAGGCAATTTCTGATTTTTTTTTACCTAGCCAATGGAAAATTGGGTTCAAGAATGGTTTCAAGGACTCAATGGAATCATCTTGACCTAATCACATGGTTCAAAAGATCTCAACTGCATTGGATTGACAGATGAATTTTCCAATCAACTGATCAAAAATCAACTTTACACTGAAAAGTCAAACTTTGACTTTTTGGTCAAAATCAAGTACCAAAGGTCATTTTTCATCAAGATGTGTCAAAACATGAAACTTGTTCACCAAGAAACTTAAATTTGGAAATTAGAGTTTAAGTTTGAAATTTTTCATAACTTAGAATTTTTCTAAGTTATGAAAATTTCTTATTTTTTCCCAAAGTTTTCCAACTTTTTCACCATGATGCAATTGGATTCAAAGAAAACTTCCAACATGAAAGTTGTAGTCCTCCATAAAATCTACAACTTTGATTAACAAAGTTTTCCCAAAAGATGCTTGGATCTCAAGTTATGATTTTGTGAATAAGGATCCATAAACTTTTTAACTTAGTGAAATTTTGCCCTAGTTTAGGCAGATTTTTGACCTAACTTCATGACAACTTTTCACCTAGTTCCAAGTGGAATCTCAAAATTCATTTTAAAGATGGATTTTATAGCATGTTACAAGCTTACCAAAATGTCCAAGAACTCTCCAAGATCATTTATGGTTAGGGAGAATCGAAGAAAAGAAAATGGCCATTTCTCACTTTTGTCCATGGCATTTTTCACATTGTTACAAGTTGCAAATATGTCCTAAGCATGCTTGTACTTGTTTTACAGGTCTTAAACCTTTCCATACTCCTTAATTTAATGAAAATACATTGGACAATGGCTTTGTTCTGAGCTTTGGAGCATTGTACATTGATTTATTCCAAAAATGGCATAAAGTTTACATTGTTATTTTGATAAACCATGCTTTATGTAACTTTGTTTATCTTGAGCCATGGACCTAATATCTTTTGGCAAATAAGATCCACAGATATCAGGAAATTGGTACCAACTCTCAGCAGGCCTTGAGCTAGCCTGTACAGGCTTTGAGCTTTGTCAACTCACCTTTTCTTCAAAAACAAGAAAACTTGCAAAAGTGAACACAACTCTTGTATCTGATAAAACCAAGTCTTAGCATCATTCTCCACAAGTTCAGCATATTGTAACAAGCAAGAAACACGAGTTGCCAACCTCTCAAACACCCTCTAACACAGAAAACCCCATTTCTGCCCAAAACAGGGCAACTTCTGCAAACACCAAGCCATTTCCATTTTGGCTCGTGCGTTTTGCTTGGAAACACTTCAAGCACATTCCATACATTACACCTAAACTATCCAGACCCCTGTCCAACAACTGTGAGATCATTTTCACACTTCACCATTTTCATTTTGAAGCTTTGTAGGTTGACTTCTACAGAGAGATTCAGGCTAGTTCAAAGCAAGCTGAGCATTGGGAAAGGTTGAGGGAACTTCAAGCAAGCTCAAAAGAACTTCAGGCCTCACTCAAAGTTGCTACATTGCCATATCCAAACTCAACTGAACAAGGTAATTTTCAAAGTTCTATCTCCTTATTTAGGCATCATTAGGCTTAGGTTCGTGAAGCAAAAATGTAGTCCTTAAGTTCCTTGAGCTGTACATATGCATAAATTCCATTTATATTAACTGAGCTAGGAGTATTTGGATGTTGAAGTTGCTGAAAAAACTAGGTTAGAATTTAGGGTCACTGAAATTCTCTCTGTCCTTTGAGAGTTAGGTCACAAAATGGATATGGTTGGAATCGTGATTAAAAATGCTATAACTTTTATGTTGTAAGTTTTTGATTTCATGCAAGCATGAGCAAGAACAGATTTCAAGCTAAGAAGCGCGCGCGCGAAGGAGACAGAGGTCAGGGACGAAGTCGTTTGGGCTCGGCGCGCCTGGGCCTGGCTTTTCCTACTTTTGACACCCCCTTCTTTACTTCTGCACCCCCCTTTGCATTTTCTTTTATTTTTTTATATTTCTTGCATATTTCATATTTCTGACTTTATTTATTTTTTTCTAAACATTTAAAATCTCAAAAAATATTTTCTTTATTTTTGGCATTTTATCTTATTTTTTATTTTATTTTTTTTGCATAATATTTAGTTTATTAGGTTTAATACTTTTATTTTCTTAAATAAACTTGTAAAATAATTTGAAAATACCTAACATTTTTATTTTTATTATTTATACACTTAAAATATTATTTTCATACAATATTTAATTTTTTAACATTTTGTATATATTGTTATTATTTTTTTCTTGTACATAAATGAAATAAACAATAATATAATATATATTTTCTTTTAAACCAAAAATTAGGGTTTTCACCCTTTCAAAAATAATCATTTTATTTTCTTATTTTTAAGACATAAATAAATTTATTTTACATACATAAAATAAATACAAAAAAAAACATTTGTGCATATTTACATTTTATTGTACATTTAAATAATTGTTCATTTATTTATTGTATAAATTCAATTGGGTTGTAATAGTA